TGATAAAGCAGTGTTGAAGTCTCCAAGTACTATTATGTTGCTTGTAATGTCCTTCTTAAGGTCTCTTAGCAGTTGTTGTAGGTATTTGGCTGGTCCCTCACTGGGTGTGTATACATTTAGGAGTGTGATTTCTTCCTGCTGTACATATCCATTTATTAATAAAAACTGTTCTTCACAAAAAGGAGTGCCTTGCCACAGAGGCACGGTGGGATGAGAGATGGGGGGGAAGGATACTAGGGGTGGAGAATGAGCACTGGTGGTGGGATGGGTACTTAATCATTGTATAACTGAAACCCAAGCAAAAAAACTTGTAAGTCTACAACTGTACCTCATGGTGTTTCACTAATTAAAAAAATAAAATACATTTTAAAAATTTTTTTAAAAAAACTGTTCTTCATGGTCTCTTCTAATCTTTTTCAACCTAAAATCTATCTGATAGGTCACTCCAGCTTTTTTGAGGGTGTTGTTTGCTTGCAGTGTTGTTTTCCATCCTTTGACTTTGAGTCTGTGTTTGTTCTGATTGTTCAGATGTGTTTCTTGTGGCAACAGAATGGTGGGTTCTGTCTCTGAATCCATTTTGCAACTTTGTGTCTTTTACTTATTGAATTTAGACCATTGAAGTTGAGAGAGATTATTGTTATGGGGTTTTGTGTCATCTTTCTGTAAGGGTTTGTTGTACTTGTAGAAGTTTGTCTTGTCTTACAGTAGCCCCTTTAGCCTTTCTTTTAGGTTTGGTTTTGAGTCTATGAAATTTCTGAGCTGTTGTTTATCCAGAAAATAGTGTAACATTCCTTCGAGTTTGAGTGAGAGTTGAGCGGGATAAAGTATTCTTGGTGAAGCGTTCATTTCAGTGAGTTTTTTCACTATATCCCACCATTGCCTTGGAGGGTTTCCTCTAATAGGTCTGCTGTGAATTTAAGAGGTGGTTCTTTGTATGTGATTTCCTTCTTTGACCTTGCTGCTTACCGTATTGTGTCTCTATCTGCGGCATCCATCATTCTAACTATGATATGTCTTGTAGTGTTTTTGTTAGGGTCTCTTTTAGCTGGCACCCTTCGGGCTCCCTGAATGTGGATACCTGCATTGTCCAGCTCTGGGAACTTTTCAGCAACAATTTGTTTAACCATGGCTTTTTCATTGAGACCATTTCCCTGACCTTTGGTACTCCAATGGTTCTAATGTTTTTTCTCTTGGAATCATCTCCTAGAACTCTAATTCGCTCTAGAGCTATTTTGAGGTCTTGCCATTGTTTGTTGTTGCCTGTAGGCTTCCTGCAGCTGATCGTCCAGCTCACTGATTCTGTCTTCAGCTGTAGCCATTCTACTGTTGAGGGCACACACTGAGTTTTTTATTTCATCTACCGCATCTTTTATTCATGACTTTTCTGAGCGTAGCTTTCCAATTTCTGCTCTCATCTCTTCCTGTATTTTCTTGATTGTTTTTTTCATATCCTCCTTTAATTTACTAGATATCTATCTCACTGTTTCATTAAGTTCATTGAACATCTTCATTATTTCATATCTGAATTCTTTCTCAGAGATCTCCCTTAAGTGAGTAACACCTAATGAGGCTTCTGGACTCTTCATCATCCTTTCCTCATGGTGGGGATTTGCGTCGTTTCATCATGTTGGTGTGGTGGTATGGAGACTGAGACGTTACACAAGATTGTTGGGTATGAGTAATTTACCTGCAGCCCAAAATTAGGCCGCACCCACTTCTGCAGAGGCCTCACCCCCTACTAGTACCTGGTGTGTCTGGGGGGTACAACCTGGGAGAAGCAAACCAGGCACGGCGGGAAGAACAGGAAGAGGCTCAGGGATGGTTGGTGGCCCAGGGTCCTAGAGGACGCCTGGGGCACATACACGGGAAAGTGAAGTCCCTTCCTATCTCTTTTAAACTTAAAGACATGATACAATCTCATACCTCTTTACAATGTAAAGACATGTGATTTGAGGAAGTTGGGAGAAACATGTTTCACTCACCGAATGGTTTGTCAGGATAGAAAACTACTCAGGACAGACAGGTGTCATGCTGACAGTAGCTTCTGTCTCTCGGTCCCCAAAGGAGACTCTGTATATCTCTTTGTCAGGAGTTTGCTGTAAAACCTCAGTTCCCTGCTAGAGAGAGAAATGGTGAGGAGTCATTTTCCTTGGGATCAAGTGCACCTAAGTTGGGACAGCAAGCACTGTCATCGAAAGAACCAGACAGACAGCGTGCAAAGGACTGAGTCCCTGCTTAACATGCAAGAGACCCTGGAAGGATCCCTGGCATTGCACAGGCTACCAGGCATCCCTGGGTTGACCTTAGAGCACAAGGTCGGGAGTAATCCCCGACCACTGCCAGGCCCAACACACATATAAAAAGAATTTGAAAATAAAATAAAACAAGGGAAGTCTGACACATTCTGTGTGTATACAAGAGTTGCCAGCTGAGTGAAGCTTGCTTAGAAAGAAGGTGAGGGGCTTTATCTCCTTTGCCTTGGGGTGTCCAGATCCTTGAGGGGTTCCCCAATCACAGAAGGCTGCTGCAAAAGTGTGGAATGAAGGAGTAGATAGACTCATTCGCATCTCACCTCATGGAGAACGTGTGGGACTGTGCAGGTTGGTAGGAGAGACTGGGGTTGCCCAGTGCCCGGGTAAGTCTCTTAACCACAAAGACTCAACTTGCCTCAGAAAGAAAAGAAATCAATAGAATTATGTCTGTGCACATGGACTGGAAGTTGAAGTACAGCGCTATTCTGGAAACTCCACACCATCTATTCTTTTCTCTGAATCTTTCTTGCTTTTCAGAATGGGCCTGCCAGCCACACCAACCAGTGTCAGCACCTGCCAGAAATGGCGGATGTGGGAACTCAGGTCAGCCCCTCCTGAGAAGCAGCCCCAGAAAGACTGAAAAAACTCCTCTGTAGGATATGAAGCATCCAACTAGGGGATTATCAAATGCCCAAAAGCAATAGAAAGGAAGAACAAGAGAACTGGTCTTCAGGGAGTCCAGGGGGATAGGTTAGGGAAGGCAATACTGGTACAATGAAGGAGGTGGAAAGTACCTGCCACTAAGGCAGGTTGGGGCAGAGGAGGCCTAGGGCTGGGGCAACTGGGGACATTAGTGGAGGTCAGTGGACACTGGGGTCTGATCATAGAAACATTGAATGCTTGAAACTCAATCATAAATATATTTGTAACTTTGTAATTTATTATGAGTCAATTAAAATATGGGCTGGAGCGATAGCACAGCGGTAGGGCGTTTGCCTTACAAGCAGCCAACATGGCCAACCCGAGTTTGATTCCTCCACCCCTCTCGGAGAGCCTGGCAAGCTACCGAGAGTATCTCGCCCGCACAGCAGAGCCTGGTAAGCTACCCATGACGTATTCGATATGCCAAACACAGTAACAACAAGTCTCATGGTGGAGACATTACTGGGCCCGCTCGAGGAAATCGATGAACAACAGGAGGACCGTGACCGTGACCAATTAAAAAAAAGTGAGGCTTAGTTTTGTATGCAATCTGCAGAAACAGCTCAAACGGGACAACAGAAATGGATTGTTTTGCCAGAATAAAGAGAAGGCTAAATAGAGATAGGAAGAAAAATTCCTAAGTTTCACAGAGAGAGAGAAAAGACGGAAAAGAACCCAGAGCATTCTAGGGGTGGGTTTGGAGAGACAGAACATTGGAGACCTGAAAATCTGCTATTAAAAGCACTGCCCTATCACAGTGCCTGAAGAAAATAAAATATTTCTTTTGAAATATTTTATTTCAATATTTCCATGACCAGAATGACCAGATGACCAGAAAAGAAAAAAGACAGAGAAAAATGAACCTACAGATTGTCAGCAGAGGCACTGAGGAGCCAGGAAATGGTTAACTTCTGAACAAAATTACCGGGTGAACTTTACAATAACATAATAAAAGGAGAACATGAAGAATCTAAGTGCTACATGGTGCCATTTAGATACAAGAGAAGAGGTTTTCAGAGGTATCTCCTTGACAACCAAAGGCAGGGTGGAGAGAGCGAACCCTCTGCAGCCTGGTTCTGTCAAAACAAACAATCACTTCACTACATTGTTCCAGGTGGGGGCCTCTCCGTGTTCCACACACACAAATGAAATCATGTTTATTCATTGGAGTGATTTTCCTACCCGGATTTAATTTGATTTGATTCAGAAATGAAAAGCCCAGATGCATAGAGTAGGGCTTCTGAAACTTTTTCTGCCCGTGACCCCTTTTTTCGCCAGAGACATGATTACCCGGGCCTGAGTATATAGGTATAGAGGCAGATGAAATAGGTATGCAAATCAACCATTCTACTGATAATAAGTCACAAGGAAATTTATTTCGAAGCAAATTGTTTATAGTCCCCCTATAATTCAGTTAACCCCATAGGGGATCATTTCAGTCTTCTGTTTCAAAAGCATTGGCAGAGAGAAACCCAAACTTTTGGGGATGGTATCACAGCTCCTCAATCCTCTCCCTCTCCTCCTCTCTCCCCTACTCAGCTCTCTCCAAAGACATTCCAGCCACCAGAAACCAACCCTACACCCCTGTATGCTGTTCCCTAAACAGAGTTCCTCTGAACCTCTGCAGTCTCTGGGCCCACCCGGGACATTTTCATCCCAAGATACGCGAGAGGCATTACTCTTTTCTTTTTCAGATCCCTGGGACCCATTATCCTATCAAAAAGACTTCCCTGGGACTGGAGCAATGGTATGAGGGTAAAGCAGCTGGCAGTTCAATTCCCCACAAACCCCTCTGGTCCCCCAAGCTCCGCCAAGAGTGATCCCTGAGCACAGAGACAAGAGTAAGCCCTGAACGCTACTGGATGTGGCCCAAACAGCAAAATGAAAACCAACAGGAAAAAAAGGGAGACTTCCCTGGCCACTCTACTAGAATGAGCAGTTCCCACCATATCATTCTTGATTGTGTTCCCCATTTTTAAGGTTTTTCTTCTTTGATCTCATACCAACAGGGAGGCTGGGGTGCGCGAGCTCTGTGGCGTTGCTGGTGGCCGCGCGGACGCGGCTCTGCGAACCCCGAATGCCGGCGCGTGCCCGGAGCCCCGCGTGGCGTCGGCCGTGGGTCGGGGCCTTGGAGATCGCCCTGGTCCTCGCGCTGCCAGGCCTGTGCGGTGCCTGCGATGCACCACCAAGATACCAGTCTATGAAGATCAAGGGGGACAGTAAATCTTCGTATAGTCCTGGGGAGAGAGTAGATTATGAGTGCCGCCCAGGGTACAAGCGCGACTTTACGCTTCCTGCCCATACTGTTTGTAATGACGATGGCACATGGGCAGCCCTCCAGGAGGCTTGTACCAAAAAGGCATGTCCACATCCACCAGTGCCCAGTAATGGGGAAATATCCAGCCCACAAGGGGATCTGCTGTTTGGCTCAGAGGTTCACTATACATGCTTTGTCGGTTTCCGCTTAATTGGGTCAAAAGTTATTTACTGTGAAGTATTTGACAACACTATGAAATGGAGTGATCAGCCTCCACTATGTGAAAGTTCCAAACCTACACCTGCTACTACAACTCCGACTTCAGGAGAGCCTGGTCCCAAGCCTGCTGTTACTACCCTGACACCAGCTTCAAGAGATCCTGGTGATGTCAGACCCAGTGATCAACCACCCGAAACGTCCGGGCATTTAGGTCCTGGGGTCATTGCAGTGATTGTTTTAAGTACAGTCGTTGGTGTTATGCTGGCCAGCCTTGGTGTGTACAAGTATCTTCAGAGCAGGAAGAAGAGAGAAACAAAGAACTCAGAAGCTTCCTTTTCTACCTACCGGAGCAAATCCAGCAGTCCAACAGAAGAGTCAAACTAAATGGCCCCAGAGCCAGAGTATCTGGTCATCTTCCATTGCTCTTCAATCCAGTTATACTACCCTTGGCCAGTCAGTGCTACCACTTTCAAGAAACATTTGGAAAGTGCCTCAAAAATTAAAGAGTGGAAGCACCAGGTGCTCTGGCAAGACCATGTCAGTGCCATTGGTGGATGGGTGGGTCAAGGCTCTTTGGCTACAAACACGAGACACTTCTGCAGAAGCCTGCCGCCCCTGAAGGAGCCCTAGGCACGGGGCTAGGGACAACCTAGATAGCGGGCCATGGCAGGCCTCACCTCAGTTAGATGCTCAGGAGAAGGGCTTCTGCATGCCGGGCAGGGGGGTCTGGGAGGAAGTCAGCTATTTAAGAACATCCCAACAGATAAATCTCAGGAGTGGACACATCACAGTAGTTAAGGGTTACTGCAAGATCTTGTTACAGAAACCGAAAGTCTAGGCTAGACAGTGCTGCTGGTCAGTCATAGCTCATCAAAATTAGCAGAAAAGCCACGTCTCCTCTCCTCTGCCTCACCCCGTGGAAGCTCTGCTCCGCCTGCCCTGAGACAGGCACTTGGTGGCAGGAGGTCACCTCCTCTGCGGTCGCTCCTGAGCTACATGGATCTGACTCTGGGGAGGCGGATCTGCTTGGAACACATCCTGGTTGCAGTTAAGAAAAGGGATTTTTTTTCTTTTTGGGTCACGCCCAGCGATGCACAGGGGTTCCTCCTGGCTCTGCACTTCAGGAATTTCTCCTGGCGGTGCTGGGACTGTATGGGATGTTGGGAATCAAACCCAGGTTGGCCACGTACAAGGCAAGTGCCCTCCCTGCTGTGCTATCCCTCTGGCCCCAGGAAAGGGACTTTTTTTCCCCAGTTTATGGCATGGTAAATTTTTTGTTTTGTTTTTTAATTTTATTGAATCACCATGAGATAGTTAACAAGCTTTCATATTTGGATTACAATCACACACACAATGATCAAACACCCATCCCTCCACCAGTGCATATTCCCCACCACCAAGGAAAGGGACTTATAAGTAAAATCTTGAACTTAGTTTGAATGAAATTAGCATCTCATGACTCAATTATTTTGAAATCTTTTGTTGAAAGATTAACTCCATCAAAAGATTCTTTCAACAACTCCCAGAATGTATCTTATACTTTTATTGCAAATTTTTTCTACAAATGTGAATATACTATTATTAGCTCTTAAACATTCAAAACTGGCAGTTGGAATTAAGGTTTACTCAATTAACAAAGAATATTATTGGGACATCTTATCCAAACTTTTTTTATGACATCTTATTGTCTCATTCCTACTTTGGACAAACTTGCAGGCTATCGAATGTAGCCTGCCCACAGGGCAGAGTCTGGCAAACTCCCCGTGGCGTACCCAATATGCCAAATACCAGTAACAATGATGGGTCTCATTCTCCTAAAGAGCCTTGAATATAATCTCAGGGCTAGGATGAAAGAGACGTTACTGGGGCCTGCTCGAGGCAATCGACGAATAACAGGATGATGAAATGAAATGAAATGAATGATCTCATACCATCTAGCTTTTTTTAAAAAAAAAAAGTGTGGTGTGTATGTGTGAGCGAGCGAGCGAGAGAGAGAGAGAGGACACACGAGAAAAACAAAGAGGGAGTGCTCCCGAGGGAGTGCTCCCGAGTCTGGATAGTGCTCACACAGAATCACAGAATCAGAAGCTACCAAGCTGACTCAGATTCCGGACACTTTCAGGCACTCTTGGAAGTCAGGGCTCATCTGGATGTTGCACCCTATTCAGAGGGGATTAAAAAAAATATCTGGCAAATCAAAGACCTCCCGGAATTAAAATTAGGCCAATCCTGTGCTACTTTCTTTCCGTAACAACTTTCCACCATTCAGAACTGCACTCACGAAAAGGCTCATTTTCATAGGAAGGACCTAATGAGTAACTAGCCCCAACGTTTCCCACTGAGCTATAGGGTCAGATGTGGGCTTTGCTCCAGCCACCTGAGGTCATAAACATGCATTTATAAATTTGTTTTTTCGTGTTGCGATGACACTTTCTTGGGGGGGAGCCTCTGAAGGCAGGTGCCTCTCTTTGAGTTCACAGCTGCTCCCCCAATGCTAGGACCAGTCTGGGAGTACATTCACTTCCAAGTGTAGCAAAGTGCGAACCCCTATATTCTCCCAGAAGTTTCCACGCTGCTCCCACACACAGGCCGCGGCCCTGTCTCCACACCCTCCCTCGTTATTTTTCCTCCACCCAGAATACCTTTTCCCTTGACCATGGCTCTCAGAGCAGTTCTGTCTACCACCTACAGGAGTGATGTCAACTGGGAAGACAGGAAAGCGGGGTGGGAAAGGGAAGCTTGCCAGAAAAACCACCAGAGAATGAAGAGTAGTGGCCAAGCTAAGCACCCTTCCTCATCAGCCTCAACCTCGGGCTTGCACATGCCTGAAGTGTCTGCTCTGGTGCCAGTGTAGCCAGGGCTCTCCTCCTCTCTCCCCTCCTCTTCTCTTCTCTCCTTCCCACGGATCACTTTTGTGATCTACCCAAAGCCCCCTTGCACCCCCCACCCAAGGCAACTGTCCTGAGTTCAAGCAAAATAATTTATTTTTATTTAAATTTTTAAGAAATTTTTAGAAATTCTTTTTAAGAAATTTTTATTGAACCACTGAGGTAGTCTCTTACAAAACTCTTTATGATTAGGTTTCAGTTATACTGTGTTCCAGCATCCCATCCATCCTTCCACCCAGCACCAATGTCCCCGGTTCCCCCGCCCCGCCCCCGCACCTCATCCTCCCTAGGTTGCCTGTATGAAGGTGTTTTTCTTCTCTCTATCTCTCTTTCCCTCTCTGTGTCATATTTCTTTTGCACTGAGTTTTTCTTCCCACTATGTACTCAACTTCTTGGAAAGCAAAGGTACGAACTGTGAGACATGGTTGAATTCTGACTCCCACGGTATTTTGCTAAATCTAAGCTGAGGTAAGCCAGTATTATTTCCTATATCACTGAACACAAACAACCAAAAAATACTGCTAAGTCATGTCAGGCAGCATCAGTTGTCAAATGCAATCTGATTTCAGAGGGCTGAGAATGGGGAAAGGGTGTATGAAGACACTGGGAAGCTCTGGATGGACTGTGTGTGGACATAGAGAAGTGGCCAGCCATTTGAACGTTGGGCTTGCCATCTGTGACATGAAAAGCCGCCTTCCCACTCCTCCAATTCATAGTTATTGGATGATTAAGTGTTCAGATTGGTTTTCTATTTTTTTAGCCAAAGAGAACAGGAACTGACTCTGGTTCACTTAAGCAAAAGGAGATTTACTGGAAGAAGGTTGGGAACTCAGAGAACTAAAGAGAGGCTGGAGAACCAGGCTTTGTGATGCAGGACGCAGAGATGCAGTGTGGCCCAGGAAACAGGAACCATGGTAACAGTCTCCCACCAGGAGGGGTCCAGTCAGGACAGGGATGCTGTCCTTGAGTAAACTCAGAAAACTCTGATGGATGCAGCCTGCCCTCTGGTGTAAGGGTCAGGACCAGCACCTGTCCCTTTGGTTTTCACAAGACAAGCCAACACCTGTGTTTAACACACAGCAGGGCAGAGATCATTCATTCCCTAAGAAGATCTACACCTTATTGCGAAGGGGAGATGGAAGCCAGGTGAACAGAACAACAACAGCAACAATAAAATAATTTTGCTCTGACTTCTTTATTGATTATCCCAAACAGCCACAGTTTTGCTGCCACAGGACTACAATCCAAGTCAAAAGCGGGCGGGGGGCTGGGGGCATTTCTTTTTTGAGGAGACTTCTGTTCATTTCTTCTCCCCATTTTTTAATGGGGTTGGAGGTTTTTTCTTGTACAATTCTACTAGTGTTTTGTATTTCCTGGATATTAATCCCTTATCAGATGGGTATTGAGTAAATATTCTTTCCCGTTCTGTAGGCTCTTTCTGTATTTTGGTCACTGTTTCTTTTGAAGTGCAGAAGTTTCTTAGTTTGATGTAGTCCCATTTATTTATGTTTGCTTCCACTTGCATGGTCAGTGCTGTTTTATCCTTAAAGATGTTTTTAGCTCCAATGCCGTGGCCAAAAGGCACATGAAAAAATGCTCCACATCGCTAGCCATCAGGGAGATGCAAATCAAAACAACAATGATATACCATCTCACACCACAGAGACTGGCACACATTCAAAAGAACAAAAGCAACCAGTGATGGCATGGATGTGGGGGAAAAGGGATACTCTTCCACTGTTGGTGGGAATGCCCACTAGTCCAGTCTTTCTGGAAAACAATATGGGCAGTCCTTCAAAAACTAGGAATTGAGCTTCCATATGAAATGCAATACCACTTCTGGGAATATATCCCAAGGATGCAAAAAAGCACAGTAGAAATGACATCTGTACCTATATGTTCATTGCAGCACTGTTCACAATAGCCAAAATCTGGAAACAACCCAAGTGCCCTAGAACATATGACTGGTTTAAGAAACTTTGCTACATCTACACAATGGAATACTATGCAGCTGTCAGGAGAGATGAAGTCATGAACTTTGCTTATAAATGGATAGACCTGGAGAGTATCATGCTAAGTGAAATGAGTCAGAAAGAGAGGGACAGACATAGAAGGACTGCACTCATTTGTGGAGTATAAAACAAGATAACATGAGGCTGACTCCTAAAGACAGTAGAAACACGGGACAGATAGATTGCTCCATAGCTTGAAGCCTGCCTCATGAGTGGAGGGGAGAAGGCAGGTGGAATAGAGAAGGGATCACTAAGAAAAAGATGGCTGGAGGAATCAGTCGGGATGGGAGATGTGTGCAGAAAGTAGATAAAGGACCAAACATGATAATCTCTCAGGGTCTGTATTGCAAGCCATAATGCCCAGAAGTAGAGAGAGATTATGGGGAATAATGTCTGCCATGGAGGCAGAGGGAGGGTGGGAAAGGGGGATTATACCAGGGATATTGGTGCTGGGGAATGTGCACTGGTGGAGGGATGGGTGTTTGATCATTGTGTGATTGTAACCCAAACATGAAAGCTTATAATTATCTCACAATGGTTCAATAAAATTAATTTTAAAAAAAGAGTCCAAAGCCTCAACAGGGGTTACCCACGAATATGATCTCTCCAATAAAGAATTCAGAGATGA